TCAAACCGTTTTGGAATTGCTTAATTCGTTCTTGAGATATATATGATAAAGTGGACCCAATTTTTTTTTTTTTGCAAAAACGGTAAATTGCAAATATCTCAAAAACGGTACCATAGAATTAAAAATAACCTTGATTTTCGGAATCAGGGGATGATTTTACATAAGAATTTCATAACGGCGTTTCTGGCAAAGAGAAAAAGTTGAAATTTGTGGTCCAGTGTAATTGGTCCCTGCAAAAGCTCTCAACATTTGTACTACAACAGAAAAGGTTTCTTTAGCGTAAATGCAATGATTGTAAATACTTGAATGAATGTAATTTATGGAAGTGATAACTAACTATTTATTCTTTTTTGTATTAGATCTGTGATCATAAAATGCGTATAAGATACGTAGACATCCAGGCTCTGGACACGATTCCTTAATTTGGAATACCAGCCGAGTAAGAAGGTTTTTACAGGAAAAATATGAAGCTGGTGAACGTAATTCGTGGATTCTTGGTATGAAATTACAATTAATATTGAAATGAGTTTTACATACAAGTTTTTAGGCGATGCGGGTTACCCATTAGAACCATTTCTAATGACACCTTATAGATCAGCGACTGAACACAGTGCGGAAAGCCGCTACAATTCCGTTCATTCCAAAGCCAGAAATATTGTTGAGTGAGTGATTGGAGTACTCAAATCGCGATTTCGCTGCCTCCTTGGAGCGCGTGAGTTACACTATGATCCCCAAAAAATTACTAAAATCGTAAACGCTTGTGCTGCTCTCCACAATATTTGTCTTCACTACAATACTTACTTTCCTGAAGATGATCTACAAACGCCTTTCGAAGAAGCAGAAAATTCTGCCATTATTAATGAAAATGAGGCAGGCAGTAGCTCAGAGGCTTCCAGAATAAGAGATGTGATTAAAAGCAATTTGTCTTTATAAGTTATATTTTTTAATTCATACTATATACATACATACTTAAAGTAAAAAAAGAAAAAAACACTTCATACAAAATAAATAAAAATTCAAATGAAATAAATTAGATATTGGAACTTAATTGTTTCTCCAATAACTCCAACATCTTTCTTTTTATTGCAGCATCCAGCTCCAAAAGCTCTTCCTCTTTACGCACTTTCCTTTTGTAAATTTTTAGGCGTTCTTCTTCTATCTCATACCTTTTTCTTTGGTATCTGGAAACATCTTTCATGTATCCCTTAATGGACTGTAAATGGTCGCACTGCACTTCCTGTATTTCGGTCTGCTTACTCAACAGCTCAATTCTTTCTTTTTCTGCAGGTTTTGTGCTTCTTGAGGACCGCACTCTTGTTGAAACTGTGGGTATTTCATCTTCCACATATTCTTCGATGACGTATTCTTCGGCGTTTTCTGCATTTGCCTGTACTTGAGAACTCGCAGTCGTTTCATCAAGGTTAAGCAACTCATCAATTTCGGTTTCTTCAACCAAACCCAACTCACTCCCTTTGGGGTTTATTTGCTGCTCAAACTGCAACAAATTTGCCACCGCTTCTTCCAGTAGAGACAGTTGCATTTGTCTATTGGCTCCTGTTGCTCTCGCTTCGGTTTTGTTGTTGACCAGTTTTTTCTTTACCTTGAATTTCAAGTCCTTCCATACCTTTAGTAGAATTGTAGAATCGTTAGTTTTAAGTAATATTTACTGTTAACATAATTTTACTTACTTTATGCCAACCTTCTCCATCACGAACTGGAGGTCCAAAAGGATTTACTTTTTCCGCAACCACGTTCCAAAAACTGTTGAAGTTAAGAGGTTTTATGCCCTTCCTAAAACCTTTGGCGTACGCGGGATTCTTTTCCATTTCGGAAACTAAAACATCAAATTGCTGCACGGTAGTAATTTTCATTTTAACTTTATTAAAATCGCAATCCTTTCGCTTTCGTTCTAAAAAATGCGGACGACAGTAGACGAATGTTTCTATGGCGTTCCTATCTTCGTTTCAAAATGGAGAATACCGATATATTTCCGATAAACTTCGATAACGCCAACGGTGATGCCAACTTGTCGTTCTTATTTCGTTTTAAAACGACAACGCCAACGGGAATAGGGCCGATCATTTAGAAAGTGCAAGTTCATATCTTTAATTTGATATACATATTTTATTATGATCTACTTTTGAGGTTTAACAATTCAATGATAAAATAAAATTAAAAGCATTTACAAGCAAGTGACAAGTGTGGGTGATATCATACGTTTCTTTCGCCCAGCACTTCTTACTGCGTAGGCGGCCTTGGGCCGCGCTTAGGGATCATAACCCTTACAAAGTAGAATTCTCCTTTCTGTATTGCCGAAGAAGCGGAGCTGAACACCTTTTGCAGAGAACACCTTTCTGTGTAGGCGGCCTTTGGCCGCACTTAGGGGTTATAACCCTTACCAAATAGAATTCTCCTTTTGGTGTGCACCAACTGGGGTTACCATCGCAGTGATGTAGCCTTGGGAAAGGAGGAGGTAACTAGAATTCCCTTTCTGTGTGGTAAACCTGGGACTGACGCCCCAGTGATGTCTATTATGGTTACTGGGTGTTTTATAAAAATGTCTTGCGCAAATGAACATTTTTCAAGCGAAAAAACGCAAATGAAAATTGTGATTTTTGGCAATTTTTCTGAGGGGTCCCTAGGTAACCATAGGGGACCTAGATGGTCGGGGGTTGCATTTTTGTCAATGGCGGTTCATTCCCTCTCCAAAAAGGTGGGTTAGAGGTGTCACGCCCACTTGCCCTTCGCCCACCGCCACTTTAACGAACGGCCATAATGGAAAGCCAACGCGTTTAATTAACTACAATATGCATTTGCACATACATGCATTTATATTTTTTATTATCACTAAATTCTGAAAACTCAAAAGGAAATCATAATATAATACGTATATCAAATTAAAGGTAAAAACTTGCACTTTTAAAATAATATAATTTTTTTTAGCATTGATTATGGACCTTTTCTAAAAAAAAGGTTATTTTATGAAAAAATTATGAAATTTTTTTGTTTTATAATATTTTTGGCTTAAAAATATAAAAAAAGCATACACATTTTATATATCAGCTTGAAGATAAATTAGTTGTCTTGATTTTGACATCATTACCTTTTGAATCGGTTGCGGAGTTTAGAAAATATTATTATTTTAAAATATCAAAATTTTTTGTTTTACCTTTTATATCTACTTTACTTTTTAATTGCGGCAAATAATATTTATATAGTTAAAATCAGCGTAAAAAGTACCAGCAATCTGCATTTTTAGTTTTTCTATAGCTGAACGGTTGGTTATCTTGATGTATGCCCCTTTTCTCTATAATTACCCCTATTTTAATCTTCCTTCCTCTATCTTCATCTTTACTTGTATCGGTATCCTCATCCTCATCTTTTTCTTTAAATGTATTTATTTTTGGCTTTACTTTTATGTTTATCATTTTCTTCATCTATATATTGCCCTTCTCCTTTGCCCGTATATAAGTAAAGTGTTTAAATTTACCTTGATCTTCATTTTTGCGTTTATCTTTACGCTTCTTTGTTTTTGTTTTTATTTTTACCTCAGTCTTTATCCTTTTCTTTTTCTATGTACGTACTCACCTTTACTTTCATTCTTGTATTGGTCTTTTTCTAAGTAATATTCTTCAACCGTTTATTAGCAAGTTTTTGTTAAATTAATACCATGTGCATACACTCAAGAAGCACCTGTTTCCGTCCCAACAATTTCCGTTGCACCATTCCCGTGTGCAATTTTCGTTGAATTTGCCAAGTTACTCCAAGCCAACCAACCGCCGCTAAAGAAGTTTCACTTCAAAAAACATTGTTATGTTCAATATAAAATTGCGAGTAGATTCGCTTTAGAAGCAGTTTCTTTTTATAAGTAATTTATTCGCAGTATTTTTACTTGGTAAGAAAATAACACTTTCTTATTTTTTTAATATTTATGTATAAGAAAGGCCACACAATTTCGCTACTAATGACTGAGATTTCTTCTAAATGTTGGATTTACAATTAAAAGTTATATAATACGCGATGCACTTCTTTTTACCTTACTAATTTGAAATAGTCTCAGTTTGGAAATGGTAAAAAGGTTTTAACAGCCGTCAACTATGACTCCGAAATAGCCAATTTATGCAAATAATCTAAACATTAGTAAAGAAACGAAAGCATCAAATAGTCGATAATATATAAATCGAAAATAGTATCATTGATAATTGACTAAATTGCATAAGAAAGCATAATAAAACAAATAATAAGAAAAGTGTAGTATCGATGCCGCAGCGTAATCTATGTGATGTGCTCGTTGGTAGTAGGTCGTGATCGTCTCGTTGCGTTGCCTAGTAACGTTTGATTGCGTTCACGCTGCTCGTCACCAGCAAAACTGACATATCCACCAGCAGCAAGGTTATCTCCCCCAAAGACACCCGCCTGCCGATTGCCAGCAACGTTAACGTCCCTTAGGGTAATGTTGTTATCATCTTTGTCACCGTCGTCGTCGCTATCAGTGTCATTATCTTCAGAACAGGATGTGCTTAGCCCATCAGAGGAATTGCTGCTGCTGCTACCACGTGTCGATAGTTTAAGACTACTACATATATCCAGCGACGCGGATACAGATATTGCTGTCGATTCGATTGCCGATGGATGGTAATTTGGGCTGGGGCATTTACTTTCTCGATCACGATGTCATCTATCAGCCCCCATTAGCGAAACGAAATCGTCGTCCGTATCGAGAATACTGCTGGAATGTGGAACAACATTGCGTGCCTGCAAAAAGCTATTGCCAACAGGTACAGGGCCACCGTATAGTTGATGAGGTGAGTATTCTCGAGCGTGCACTTCACGTTTTTGTATGTTTATGCCAAAATTGGAATGCGTTCCAGCTGCTGCTGCTGTGTTAACGGCAAACGAAGTTTTAGCTGATGTGTTGTGGTGTCCTGAGCGTATGCCTGCTAAGTGGATGTGAGATGTATAATCAGTGGTTAGTGCGATCTCGCCATCAGGCAATACAAGATTATCTGTAGCTCCGTAGCGATTGACTTTAGCCAATGGTTTACTAGCGGAATGCGAAATTTTTTTTCTATTACCTGATTGTCCAACAGCGCTGCTGTTGCCACTAACTACTATGACATCGCCGACAGTGGTACTCGCTGTCGGCATGCCAGTTACCATACGCTCTGAATTGCTGTTACCATCTTGGCGTTTGCTCATTAAGTATTCCGTCTCACTACTGGAACGACGTGTTCCCCGCGGTAGAGGTTGATAGTTACTGCGGCCTTGAAAATGTCGACTAATCGAGCTGCTTACTACTCCCAAATGCTCAGTAACATCTTGTTGCATATCGGAGATGTCCATCATAGAGAGGAAAGCACGACACCAGTTATGATTCGGGTTGTTCCAATATTGAGGCGAGTTAATATGAAATGGATAATGCGGGAAACTATAGATGTGCGCGACAGCTGCTATGAACATCTCAATACAAATCAGGAAATTCTGAAAAAAACACGTAGTTTTTAAGGAAATTATGTACATTACAATGGGACTAATGGTTAGTTATTTAAATTAATTTCCCTTATCATTGTAGTGTTTCTGCGCATTCACAACTATAACATTTTTAAATACCTGCAGCATTGACGCCAAATTCGTATCGTCTCCAAGTGAGAAAAAAGGTTGCAAAACATTATAGTAAGCTAATAAGAACAATATTACGCCTTGGCTGCAATAAAAAATATTATCAATCTTAAAAAAAAATAGACTAAAAAACTTACAAAAATGAAAAGAACACCACTGCCTTGATGCAAAGAAATTTTGGTATCGGTTTCATTGGTTTAAGATCCTCCTGTTATTATAAAAGTGAAAGGTGAGAATTGTTTCCAAATTCATTCAAGCTACATTTTTTTTTACTTTATTAGCTTTATAGAAGAGTACCAAACAGTACATAGCAACAAACTGTGAAATGTTATTGATCACAATGATGTAAGGAAAAGCCACATTCCCCGCGAAGGTTCCTTCTCCATAAACACCACAGAGCTCGCAAATACTATTAAATAACATTTACACCAATTTAATATAATTATTCGCGCTAAGTTTCTTTGTATATATGTACATATCGATGGTCCTGCGCAATAACGACACAATTCAAAAAATAAAAACCCTTACTACTGTTAAGTCACTCATGTCTTTAATCCTTCTAGAATTCACGTCTAACTGCTTACTTTAGTAAGGACTGGAAATGGATTACACAAGGATTGGAGAGAAGAACCACTTAACAGTAGTAACAGTTTTTATTTTTACAACGCTTTTATCAACTTAGAAGAAGACTAAAAAGTAGAAAATAAATAAAATAGAAAACTTTTTAATATAACACGCTTTTATAAACAGACTAAAAAGTAGAAAATAATATTTCTCAGTCCCATAGAATTTGTTTTGATAACTTTTGATTTAGAAATTTTAGCAGAAGTCATTACAAACAATTTATGAAATGGAAAATGAAAAGCGTGGGCGCATGTAATAAATTTGAATTGATATGAAAAGTAATTAGTCTGTTCCAATAGCAGTCCGGTTTACAGGATTTAGTCAGAACTTACAGGAAGTCGTTCCTATTGACACAAAACCTGTAAGTGGGAACACATTTGAGAGAGTAAATGAGCAACTGTTCCTAGTCAGAAGTTACAGGATTTAGTCCGGAGATTTTTTTCCTGTAAGTTCATGAAAAGTGTCAAACGATCAGCTGATTTACATGTGCAAACAAAAACAGAAAGCAGTGAAAGCAAAGAAGCTTATATTTGTTAAAAAATGGAAGTAAACAACGAAATATTTGAATATGTATAAATTTTAATAATTATTTAGTGATATTTCAGCCAAATCGGTGTAGTACCAATGACATGTAAACAAACCGTCTGACGTTTCTGCATCTGTTCTCCTTTTACTCTCATATGAGAGCGTAAAATTGTAGTTTGACAGTTCCACAGGTTTTAGTCCGAAGTTCAAAGGAACAGACTAAATATATGTATGTACATATGTGGGTATATGAATAACGATCGCTTAAAATCGATCTCAACTTGCGCTATAGAAATTTTAGGTCTACTATTTTATGTAGTTTGACTATTGTCTATTAAAATTAATGCTTTGTATTGCATGCGCTCTATTGAGGAAGAAAATTCTAAACTATATGTTTGAAAACAAAAATGATTTTTTATTTAAATTTAGAAAATATGCGGATCGCTTCAAAAAATTATAGTTGTATCTTCTAGAAAATTTTCCTCAATGAATGGAAAAATCAAGGGTAAAAACGTTTCTACAAATAATATAAAATTGAAATACAAGAACCAAGGCGTATTTAACAAGGTGGTGTTGGCCGTATATAAGTAAAAAATTACACTTAGTCTGTTCCAATAGCAGTCCGGTTTACAGGATTTAGTCAGAACTTACAGGAAGTCGTTCCTATTGACATAAAACCTGTAAGTGGGAACACATTTGAGAGAGTAACTGAGCAACTGTTCCTAGTCAGAAGTTACAGGATTTAGTCCGGAGTTTTTTTCTGTAAGTTCATGAAAAGTGTCAAACGATCAGCTGATTTACATGTGCAAACAAAAACAGAAAGCGGCCCTACAAGAATTGTGTGATGGAAACTAACACATTCTCATTTATCTTACTAACACATTTGCAAATTTTGCGTTGGTTAAAAAGAGCCCATTAAATAAGGCCATAAGTTGGAGGAAGACGGAAGATCACATGTACACAAATGTTTACATCAGATTTTTCACACTGCCCTTTAGAATTTGATAGAAACTTGTAGGTAGCCAGTGACAGAAATCTCTATAAGTCCTGCCACTCAAATGATTTGTCAAATGATAGTCACTGTTCTTGCAGGGGGTGAAAGCAAAGAACCTTATATTTGTTAAAAAATGGAAGTAAACAACGAAATATTTGAATATGTATAGATTTTAATAATTATTTAGAGATATTTCAGCCAAATCAGTGTAGTACCAATGACATGTAAACAAACCGTCTGACGTTTTTACAGGAAATAGTGCTTTTCGCGTTCCTATGCACTTCTGCATCTGTTCTCCGTTTACTCTCATTTGAGAGCGTAAAATTGTAGTTTGACAGTTCCACAGGTTTTAGTCCGAAGTTCAAAGGAACAGACTAACTAACAAATTATACGCTGATGTCCATATTGTCATTGGTATGAGTTACAACAAACACATCATTTTGACGTAATGGCCTCCACGGCGAAAAACTCAGCTGTCGCCCAACACCACCTTGTTTAATACAGCTTGACAAGAACGTTAAAAATACAACGAGTAAAGTGCAAGTGTCTGTAACACGCTCCACGTTTTTCGTTTTCAATCTCATAAATTGTTTATGACTTTTGCTAACATTTCAAAATCAAAAGTTATCAAACCAAATTCTATGGGACTTAGAAATATTATTTTCTACTTTTAGTCCATTTATAAAAGCGTGGTAGTTATTTAAAAAGTTTATTTTATTTTATTTATTTGAATTGTGTCGTCATTGCAGAGGACCATCGATATGTAGGTATGTATGAGATAAATATGTATAATATAATAATTTACAAGGCGTACTTAGCACGGTGCATAGGCAACTGGCTGAGTCAGTGGGATCGTCGGTTCGAATCCTACTGAAAGAAGTCTGATGAGGAAATGTGGTGATTTCCGAAATAGCTATCACTTCTACTATTTTTTCAAATTATTGTTGCTTTTCCACAATAAATTTTCTGTAAAAAACGGCCTCGAGCTCAATAAAAATTGTTGAATATAATTGTCATAAGGCCAAAAAATAACAAAAAACAAATAACTTAAGGACGAGCACACCTAAAAGTTAAACATTCTAAAAATAGAATTATTAGCAAAAACCAACAATACCAACAATCACATGATCAAGTGAATTGCAGCGGAATAGCTGCGCTTGATTGTGTTGGCATAACAAAAATGAAAATAGTGGAAAAAAGCAAACGATAATTTACAAGGCGTACTTAGCACGGTGCATAGGCAACTGGCTGAGTCAGTGGGATCGTCGGTTCGAATCTTACTGAAAGAAGTCTGATGAGGAAATGTGGTGATTTCCGAAATAGCTATCACTTCTACCATTTCTTCAAATTATTGTTGCTTTTCCACAATAAATTTTCTGTAAAAAACGGCCTCGAGCTCAATAAAAATTGTTGAATGTATAATATGTAGGTAAATATCAAGGCATAACAAGGTAGAAGTGATTTCGACATTTCTCTCTTTTGAACTGCGACTAAAATGTCAACTCTTAACCCTATACTATTCAAAATTTTAATTTTTTTAATATAAATTTTCAATTGTTAGCTGTGCAACTGATTTTAAATACATAATAAAATGAAAAGGAATTATGGGCGGTATGTTGTGTTTGACAAGAGCCAGGACAACAAACTTGTGCGTTATTTTAAAACTCCGAAGTATCAAAGCTTCATTAGGAGAGTCTTCACGTGTGCGCGAAGACCATTTTAGTGCCAGTGACTTTATTTGTTGCCCATCGCAGCCGGGTATTTCTAAGCGGACGCGTTTGTTCCCAGGTGCAGGAATTATTATACCGAATATGAAGAGAAAATTTTTCACTCATATACATGGATAGACCAAATTTCAAATGGTGGTCTAACAAAACCTAAACCGGAATTCCTTGTTGACATAAAGAAACTGAAAATAACTTTTAATAAATTTAATGGAAAGGAAATTTCGAATTGCATAAATTTAATAGCTGAACTATTGAAGTTAAGTTCTGATGTAAATTTAGAATAATCAAACTTTTTTTTAAATGTCTAATATACTTTAGAATTAAGTTTTTGAATAAAATAAATAAATGCTTAAAAACATTGGGTAAAACATAGTAAAAGCAAGAAAATTGCCAAAATGGGTTTATGAATGAGTGTGTTTCACTAAGTGTGTAATTTTGTGTAAGTATGCATTTCCACATTTACATTAAAACGAAAAGGCAATACCTAAAATGAAGCTGATTGTAATGAGATTTTAAACATTTTCATATCTACAAAAACTTTCATTTCAAAGATATTAGCCCGTAGTTATAGTCAAAATAAAGTCGACTCTAAAGTTAAAAGCCGCGTTTTTTGACAGATATCCCATTGAAAGTTATGTCAAAAAGCTGCTTTTAACTTTAGGAGTCGACTATTTTGACTATAGCTACGGGCCGTTGAGTTTTATCAAATATGGTAAATGCATAACAAAGGGTTAATTTTTTTGTTTACATTTTTTGACACTACAGTCAGCTATGAGAGAGCTCGACTGAATTGTCACTTCTACCTTGTTGAATACGCCTTGGGTAAATATATACGAGATAACTATGTATATACGTATATACGAGAATAATAATTAAATAAAATAATGTAAAAAGAATAATTTTAAAAACAAGCTTTTATTTAAGATGTACAATCAAAGGAATAAAATAAAATAGTGCTACAAAGGATTTTTTAGCAAGAAACTTCTGTTAAAACTGCACTAAAATGAATAAAATAAAATAAGTTAAGTAATGAAAATTAGTAACAATTTATATTTATTTACTTCGTTTTTAAAAAGTTTGTCGCGCGAATAGCGAACCGGCACACAGTGCTTCCCTTCAATATAAAATGTGGGCAAAAACAGAATTATGGACGGATTTAAATGAAAATTCGCCTCTTAGTAAAATTGAGGACGCTAAATTCACGAATGCAATTTGTTTTTGCATAGCTTTCATACTTTCACTGTAAATGCAGTTTGAAGTTGAAAATTTGGGTTCTTGTGGCTTTTACATAGGTATGTACATATAGTTCGTTCTATTTTCAAAAGTGAGGTGTCAAATGACAGGGCTTGGCCTGTAGATGTGCAAAAAAGTTTTTTATTTTTGAAAAGCGTTGCCACCTGTTACAAATTTTATTAAAATTATTTAATAAACCAAATGAATTAGATATTACAATATGGGTATCAATTCAACTAGTTTTGAAAATACTTTACTTCTAAACGACACGTAGAAGGATTGCCACATGTTTCAAAAATCAAATTCACTTTAATTAAGGGAATAAGGTAACTGAAATATGTATAACAATATGAGTATCAGAAAAATTAAAAACTTTGACATATTCAGAAAGAAATAAGTGAAGAGTAAAAACCTTCCTGAGTTAATTTAAGAGTCCAGTAATTTAAAAGGAATGTAATCAGAACAAATCAATGACTGACAATGTATGTATTTGTAATAAAATAACAAATACGATGGCGTAATCCTATGGTTTGACGTAATTATTATTTTAGTTTAAATAAATTCAACTTTACAAATAGGTGGCAACCCTATTCGTAATATTTTTATGCTAAAGCCTTCTTAAACCTCTTTCATCTGACTCCCTTATGGTGATTCCTATCTATTTCAATTACCTAATTCCTTTAGTTCAAGTGGAATTTGATTTTTTAAACAGCATGCATGTAGTTAATATACATTTCGACTGATACCCATCTCTTAATAATTGATTTAACTTATAAAAAAATTTGAATCTAATTTTTTAACAATCTAATTTCTTAACAGGTGGCAACTCTTAAAAAAAAATAAACCTTCGATTGTCCACAGGTCAAGCTTTTTAATCTTACACTTCATTTTTGAACATGGAACGAATCGTACAGATCTCAAGGCACTGGCAAAAAATAAAAAAAAACATTTTATGCATTATCGAAAAACGCATTACTCCAGAAAGTGCAAAAAATGAGCAGGTTTTTATTTTAAAAGATAAAAGCCTGTACTATTTACTAAACTAATAAAAATAACCTATTTTTACATATATTTCTTATTCATTCCATTAAAATTTAGGCTTTTTTGAAATTTTGTTTAAAAAAATTGTTTTTCTGGAGTACCGCAGGGATTTTAATTCCTGTAATTCTCTACATTTTATTTATTTATTTATTTATTTATGGGGGAACAGTGTTTGTACATGTAAGACAATAATCTTTTAATAGTACATGTACTTAATTAAGTAACATATTATAGAATTGAACTAAAACTAAAATTAAGTGAGCTTACAACTAAAAAGAAGAATCACTTATATGTGAATTTTTTTTTTTTTTTTTTTACATTTTTTCTTAAAATAAAATAAAATATGAAGACTACCAGAGAAGATAAATGAAGAGAAGAGAGGAAAGAAAGGAAAATTATTTATCACAATCGTACTCACTACATAGACTTGAAGTAATTAAGTATTATCGCCTTGTAGTTACTCCTATTCAGTATAGATTTAACGGACTCGGGGATATTGTTCCAGAGTCTCACAGCGTTGATGAAGAACAATCTCGATGAGGCTAGATATGTGTATTTAGGGACTATCAGGTTGTGGCGTCTACTGGATTTTGTTGGATTTAGCTTCTCATATGAATACATTGGAGATTTCCATTCTAATAATTTATATATAAATATGCAGTTCCTAGCGGCAAGATACTCAGTAATGCTGCACCCCAAAATTTCATTTTTCCAAAAGGATATGTGGTCGAACTTTTTTAAACCATACACGTAACGGGAGACATTGTTGAAAATAACATTGATTTTGTGGGACGAGATTGAGTCAAACTTGCTGTTTTTGCTTTTTGCTGTTTGTGTTGCCGGGGTGTATCACTTTTGAGTAAATTAGCGTCTTTAAATTTCGAAATATTGCAGTTTCAAGCATTTCTGAAATTTACCGTTATATGAAAAGCGACCGTAATTTTAGTCCGATTTCAATAATTTTCAACGTTTTGGTTTTATGTCGCAAGCACAATAACCATACCGAGTTTGGTACAAATTGGTATAACGGTTACCGATATACATATGAGCCATTCTTTTTTAAGTCGGACGGATTTCGTAAAAAAAATTATGTTATGTCTCCGATTCGCTTCAAAATTTTTTTATGGGTTCTATACGCGAAATAAGCTAACACGTATTCGAGGAAATTTTTTTATTTTTTTTTTCTTCGGAGATATGATCTGTCAAAGTTTTGATTTTTTCGTGATTCTGACTATTCATGTACTTCTTCAAATGGTTTTATCTCGGGTTCTGCTCATCGTAGGGACTTCATCTTAACGTAATTTTAAAGCTAAAGAAACGGGCTTAACATTTCTATGTATAGGGTGGTCATGATTGTCCTACGGCTAACTAAGCTATAAACAGTATAACTTTTTGAAGTTGATTTACATAGTGAAGACCAGTAAATTACGGATTTAAAGTCATACCATCATAATCCTTGTTTAATTATCTATAAAAACCATGTTGTTAAAAAATGGGGGTTTTAAAAGAACTATTTTTAAAATATTTTTCTGTATAACATTGTGTTTTATTTTGTGAGAGTTAACAATTTTTTGAAATTTGTTTTCGGAAACTTAGGATGAAATATATTTAGCAAGGTATTAAAAATAGTATTTTTGCTAAAACCTAAATGTTATAGGGAATTCCGATGGGTACTCTCATTCAGTAATAAATATTTGTTCTTTAAGGCGGCAAACATCTAGAAATGGCCGTGGCAATTTTAGGACTAGATTTCGGCAGAATACCTTGCTACATATAATACAATATGTGTATTACAATGGATATGTGTATTCTTCAAAATTATATTGTTTTTTTTTTTTAAGCTATGGTACCTTCTTGGACCAGTTAACTATTTCTATAACTTAGTTTATTTTATTTCATCACAATAATTGCTGTTGATCTTTCATACAAAGAAAAAGGTTTTGCAATTATCTTATATCTGGATACTGGAACTATACAATGCAATTTCCAAGTGCCCTTAACAGCTATTGCCCTTTTGAAACGATTTTGTAATTTTTTTTCTTCTGATTCATATTCCTCGTTGGTGGCAAAACAGCGTACAATATTCGGCAACGATTCATTTGCCCAAGAGAACAACTCCTTCGGAGTTTGAATAGGATTAGTCGTGCGTTGTAGGCTAGCTCTAGCCGCCAACCTTTTCAGAGTTCCACCCAACCCATCACATGCCCCTTTACCATGTGAAGTTGGGAAAAAATGCCACTCTGCAGTCATACCAAAATCACTGTTATGGTGAGTCAAATTTATAAAATTCTTTTTGTTTTTCTATTGTCCGCTTGCCCCGTCCGAAAAATAGACAATTTTGTTGATGTTGGGTAATTTTGTTTTTAAAAAGTTCACTAAAAATCGCTGAAAAAGGTGAACAGCAACGGTGTTGTGATGCAAACAATCCGAAATAACAATTAAATTTTTTACTTGCACTACGTCTTTTTCATGTTTGTGATAAATTGCAAACGGATGCACTGTTGCTTGGTCATTGTTCCAATGTATACCTTGCACAGAATTTTGAATAACAAACGCATAGTTTTCCGAAAAATCACAAACAACAATGCATTCATTTGCTGTTAAATTTTGCTTCGGATTATTAAAAAATTCTGTCTGTTTCACCACGAGATATGAATGTAATAGCAATTTATTTAATCCGTCTTTCAGCATTGTTAAATATTCATCTACCGGGGATACTAAAGTCTGTAAAGTAGTCCTGTCAACATTCGTCTATTGTCTGTAAGTAATGCTATCAATAAAATGATCATCGAAATTTTTGTCTAGTTGTTCCATTACGTTTTCCTCACCAGGACAGTCATCACAAGTTCGAAAATTGCATTTAGTAGAAGGCGGATTACATATCATTCGTTTTAGACAGTCTTGATAATTTTGTAATGGCTGTGGTGTATCGACTGTAATTCTTTTAATATTTGCTCCATCAATTAACAGCTTAACATTTTCATGTATGGGGCAAACACAAACCGAATGCGTACCACTTGCTCCTGCTAATACACAATGCTTTGGTCCCAAAGCAGCAAATTTAGAAAAACTACACTTAATAGTTGGATAAGTGTCTTTGAACGAACAATGTAGTTCTTTAAGATTACTTAAAACTAATCTTTTTTGCATTTGAGTTCTTTTTCCGTCAATTTTCACAGAGACATAATTCTTTTTCCCGGGCATTATTCGGCTATTCTCATCAGATTGATAAAACACCGTTACCAAATCAAACACCTTTTTCTGAAGCAGTTTTCTTAGCTACGACGATCATATGCTTTGTAGCAGTGGGGAAATGTTGTAAGATCTTGCGAAATGACCATTCGTTGAAGATAGTAAAGATTTTTATCTGCAGTGTTCTATCATTGCATTTATTAAACTGCTCTTTTAAAATCTGCAAAATACTGACGTCATCATCATGCTCTTCGCTGTCATCTTCAGCATCATAAGGAATGTGGAAAATCTCCTTTTTTATTGCATCAGTAACATCCTTAAATTTTTTCTCCGAGTATTTTTTTTGAACAATTTTATTTGCTTTGATGGGCGAAGCTCCAATATAAGAAAGGCCTCTATTTAAAACCTGAACTGCTGCCACATTTGCTTCTCTATTTTCACCAGAAATTTTATAACTACTTTCTGAGCTACTCGCAGAAAAATCTTCAGAATTGGGCAGCTCCTACCGTAAAATAGATACAATTTTTATAGTCTTACAAAATTCACGATTAGTTACGCAAACAACTATTTAATTATTTTTAAAACTGCCAGCTGATATACTTAATTAGGTATTAGCTGATCTTAAATTTAGCGGTATAAAAAATTGTTATATACATACATGTACATGTATGTATGTACATACCTACCTCGGATTTTGTTATATTACGACGACAAGTGTCACAAATGCGCATTTTTCTTAAGTCCTCTGTAACTGGTAATTTCAGTGCACTGAGATCCTTTTCAGTATTTTTTCGCAACGACCGTTGTTTAGTCAGCGGATGACGGTGCAATTTGTATGGATTAAAACATCTATCCAACCGGATAGGCGAATTATTTTTGTTCGATACTTTAGGCATTGAATAATATTTCGTATACAACGTGCAATTAAATTTCACTTATATTTTAGTCTACAATATTTTAAGTATTGTAATTTATAATGAAATCTCCAGCATATGGTACGAAGTAAATGCAATTAATAGTTCCATTAAATTATGTCAAACTTCAATGACGTATAGTAGTTTACAGGGATCATAAAATTACAAGCGAATTCAACAAGTACATACATATATCAATTTGAATTACGTAATATAGTCCCTTCAAAATAATATAACTCGTCATAAAAATAATTGTTTTAAAATTAGTTGTTGTAAACCTTCCATTTTGAATAATACAGATATCGTAATACACATATTGTATTATATGTAGCAAGGCATCCGCAATAAAATTTGCGTTTTTTTAAATCTAGTCCTAAAATTGCCACGGCCATTTCTAGATGTTTGCCACCTTAAAGAACAAATATTTATTACTGAATGAGAGTACCCATCGGAATTCCCAATAACATTTAGATTTTTGCAAAAATACTATTTTTAATACCTTGCTAAATATATTTCATCCTAAGTTTCCGAAAACAAATTTCAAAAAATTGTTAACTCTCACAAAATAAAACACATTGTTATACAGAAAAATATTTTAAAAATAGTTCTTTTAAAACCCCCATTTTTTAACAACATGGTTTTTATAGAGAATTAAACAAGGATTATGATGGTATGACTTTAAATCCCTAATTTACTGGTCTTCACTATGTAAATCAACTTCAAAAAGTTCTACTGTTTATAGCTTAGTTAGCCGTAGGACAATCATGACCACCCTATACATAGAAATGTTAAGCCATAATAGTCAGAATTACGAAAAAATCCAAACTTTGACAGATCATATCTCCGAAGAAAAAAAAAATAAAAAAATTTCCTCGAATACGTGTTAGCTTATTTCGCGTATAGAACCCATAAAAAAAATTTGAAGCGAATCGAAAGTGTGACACCAAATTTGGTGTCCGAAGTGAAAAAGAATACCTCATATATGTGATCATAAGTGGGCGGTGCCACGCCCATTTTCCAAAATTTTACCAAAAACGTATTCCTTGGTCAAGAATTGTTGCAAGCATTAATTTTGAATACATTAGCTTTAATATTTACTGATTTATCGAAGATTTCGTATTTCCCTAAATTACCGTTATATGGGATCCGATTGTCCGATTTTTTAAATTTAGTATGCTATACCAAGATCAACAACTGTGCCAAGTTTGGAAGAAATTGGTGCAGCGGTTACCAAGATATACACATGTAACCATAAGTGGGCGTGGCTACGCCCATTTTCCAAAAATTTAAAATTTTCTTATTTTTCGTCTGAAAATTATTGTAAATATCAATTTTGAGTGAATTATCTGCAGTAGTTACTAAAATATCGCAGTTTTCGTATTTCTGGAAATTACCGTTATATGGGAAGTGGGCGTGGTTACAGTCCAATTTCGACCATTTTCAATACCAACCTACGTTGGATTAATGGAAACCTACATACCAAATTTCGTTGAGATATCTCAATTTTTGCTCGAGTTGTCGTGTACACGG